TGTTACAAGTTTTTAAAGGAAGTTTTTGTTGTTTTATTTATCAAAACCTGTAATAAGGTAACATTTTATACCCTTATTTAAGGCTTGTTTATTATGCAATATATCTTCATATATACTTTGTCTAGTCAGGTTGTCTCTGCACTAGTAGCAAGCTGACAAAGGCGTTGGCTAGATGCAAGTGCTTCCGAATGCTCAGCATTGGTCAAGAAAACTGGAGTGCGATCTTCTGAACTCAATTGACTCCCCCCTGGGATCCAGTAAATGGGGTGGTACTTGGCGTCATGCATAACTGGTTTGAGGGGGTATTGCAGCATCACTTTAGATTCCAATGGGTCTTAAACGGGACAACTAAGATGGATTTCAAGGAAAGTCTAGAAGAGATTGACTTTTATACTACTGAATACGACTCTGTCAATGAGGGTGGCTTGGTATCAACATTCTGGAGTGATAACATGAAGAAGAAAATGGTCAGCACCATCCTGCAAGTGGGTGTTCCATCAGGAATGACTTAGATGCCAAGGGGCTTTGGCACAAAGAAGAATGATAAACTCAAGGCCAGTGAATGGCACAATCTCTTCTCAACTCACTTACCACTGGCTGCATTGGACATATTTCTTGGGCGGGATGTCGAGGAATCACTGAATAGGAATGAAGATGCTATCAACAACATTGGTGCATTGGTCAGATGCACAAACATTGTTGCATCAAAGACAATCACAAGGGAAGAATGTGACATATGTGAAGACAAGTACAACATCTATACGACTACCTCCATCCAATTATTCCCGGAATCAAAGACATTACCAAACCATCATTACGCGCTCCACATTCCTCAGGAACTGAGGTGGTGGGGGCCTCTGATGAATCTTTCTGAATTCACTGGCAAACGACTCATTGGTTTACTTCAGAAATGCAAAACTAATGTAAAACCAAGTGAGTCATTTGTGGATTCAAGTGGGCTTATAGTTTAATGACTGCAGCTTTGTTTAGAACACATAGGGGTGACAATGATGAATAAATTCTTCCAGCTTCAGAGACTCAAGGCACAACACAGGCTGGACTGTGCTCTCTAGAAAAAAGACAAGGTCAAGCCAGGAGTCAAATTTGAGATGGATCCAAAGGCATATGACTATATCCTGAAATTTCGTCAGGAATCAATACCCGACCTTCAAGCAGAGAGCAATTTGCACAATTCATCAAATTCAAAAGTGCTTGCCAGGTACGCAAGAGCCCTTCAAATGGCAGAATGTGGGGTGGGGAGATACATTACACCTCACCCACCAAACAACATAGTTGAACATGTGTCTGGGACACAAACATGTTATTCTCAGGTATGTGAGATTGTGGAGCTTGTGGGTCATGGGGTTAATTGAATTTTTATAATGGCTGAATGAGCTCAGGAGGTGGAAGGGACCCAAGAGCTGACAGACCAATGTTGGAAGATGAATGTGGTACATGTCAAATTACAAAGTAACACATAAATTCACCTTTCCTAGATATTCATGCCTTTAGCTTACCTCCAACTCCCTGCATGGTCCTGTGGCTTCATCCACCCCAGTTATCTACTCAGACCGCTTTCAGGCCTTTCTACAACCCAATGGCCGGCCCCTGATGATATGAACCTCAATGAATAGTTAATAATCATTTGTACTCCTCAAACCTATTACCCCTTGATTTTATCTTACATGACATATACCTCCATTACATCTAAAGTTCCGTATGCCTGTGCTTGTCTTATTTTATAATCTCAATCTATTTGCAATCATACAGGAATCTTCACTCTTTGAGTACTGGCCCCAATTCTGAGGCCTGTATAACAGATACAAGTGCAGAACATCATGTTGGATGCAAACAATAGATATTTTTAGAAGAGAATGACAACC